TTCCCTACAGAAATCCGATGTAATTAACCTAAAATTCTCATCCCGCCCACCTAAATTTCATTTCTTCTTGCTTCGCCACACGGTCTCCCCTTTTTCCCGAAACGCTTTGAAGCTCTCTTGTCTCTTTCCTTTCCCTTTCCCTTACGGTTTTGCTCAAACCATCACATTTCCAAACAAACCTTCTCGAAACAGTCGCCATTAGTACTAGCTGGGGAGAGAACGACTGCATCTTGCTTACAAAGACCACCAAAACTCCCCTCATCCTTAAGCTCCACTCCTATCAGAAAGCATTGAAGAAGGTAAGCATACTCGCCCCATTATTTCCATTCATATATGGTATGCATAGGTAATGTGGTATGTATGAAAAATTGAAGTTTAGGTGTTAGGCCTGTACATATAGAAGAATTTAGTGATATGTATGTAATGCATATATATATATATATATATATATATATATATATAGACACACACACACACACACACACACACACACACACACACACACACACATACATATAGGGGATTCGCCGCGTTTGTAGATTAGTTGATCGGACATCTGCTTGTCAGTTATAAGTCCCCTCTAGTTTGTGGTTCGATTCCCCCCAATTTAAGGTGTGGCACTCGAATTCTTAGGCGCATGAGGGATGACCGGGGCTTGTATAATAGCCTCCGACCATTCCTTTGATAAACACACACACACAAAACACACACACACACACACACACACACACACACACACACACACACATAGATATATAGATAGATAGGGGATGTGGTATGCATGTAAAAATTGAAAGTTATTGAGAGTTCATGTTTTAGCATTTAGTTTTATATAAATTAATGTGGACTATCTTTTAAATATTTTTAGACCATATTCCAAGCTCAAACAACTTTTCATATTCACATACATCCATGAGGAGCTTCATCCATTCAAAGGATTTGAAACAAAAAAGCTGCACATATCTTGTTGCTTACTATATCCTACATAGAGTAATGGTATATATCTCCAAGGACGTGTATGACTATGCCCAACATGTGCACATGTATGATATATCCATAAAAATAAAATTTTTAGATGAGGATGGAGCTAATAAGGACTAATATTGATTTCTAACACATGTTATATTATCATGCTAGAGCACTATAGAGAAATTAGCTTGCCATATTGTCTAGAATTATCAAAGGTGCCCGCACCAAGGAATAATGAGAAAACTTATGATTTGATTGTCACTAAATGCTCTTATCCACTAACAAAGCTATGTCCTACCTGTCATTAAATTAGTTAAACAAAGTGTATGGTTGCAAATAGGGCTGCCAAAATGGCTCGTTATTAACGAACAGCTCATCGGCTCGTTTCGATTCGAAATATTACTCAGTGTATTTTTAAAAAATTTAATTGACTATAAGGCTACAAAGATTTATAATCAATTAAAATTATTAATTAAAAAAATAGAATAAAAATTATTAAATTAGATTCAAATAATGTTTTGATATAAACAATAATTTTTAAATCTTGCCCCAAACCTTAATATCTTATGACTACGTGATTAGAGTTGTCAAAATGACTCTTTGTTCGAGAACAGTTTGATCATGGGCTCGCTAAACAAGCAAGCCGAACTTGAATACACTTTTTGAGCTCGAAATATAAACGAGTCCAACACGAGTTGATCATGGGCTCGTTCGTGTTCGTCTCGCTTACACCCCTAGATGCAAATATTGAAGATGCTAGGTGAATATGCATTATTAAGATGAAATCAGAATAGTTTGTAGAAACAAAGAGTTGCGAAGCTAAAGAGAATATTTCCATCCATTTTATTTGATTTCTTGAACGTAATACTCCTCATCTTAGTTCAAAATTTCGATGCCAGATAAGCGAATATATAAGAATTAATCGAGGGTAAGTATGCAAATCTTCCCACATTAATACATACCACACAATTCTTATGTATTTTCATATCCAACATCCAAACATTCACATTTTCATGCATGTCACTCAAATCCTTAATGTCACATCAAACAAATATATAGATATAAATTTCGAACCTTCAGTGATGCACATGTAAAAACACAAGAAGTCCGGGGTATGTTTGTAAATTTCTCTAAAACATATCACAGAATGAGACAAGTAAACAATTAGGCTGTGACAACGTAGAGCCTTAATGACCCTGAAACTGCAAGCTGTTAAGTATGGTATGTTGGAGAAACTACTGAGATGATGGGGCCCATCTCCCAACACAAGACGCAGAGCTCATTAATGGAAAGGGTGGGAAGGCAAGAGGGCTTTTCTTTTCTCTTTGTCAGACTCTCGCAATACTCTACAGACAGCTGACTGAAGAGAGACGAGGGAGAGAAAGGCCGCCATTAATGAAGAGACCGAGAATCATTCTGTAATCCATTCCTTTATCATTGTGCTATGAACAGTTCTTTCTTTTACTTTCTTTTCCATTGAAATTTCAAATAAAATAGTTTCTTTTACATATGTATACCACTCAATTCCTATGTATTTACATAGCTAATATCTAAATTTTTTTTTTCATATATGTAATATTAACTATGCATGAAAAAAAAGTGTTTTTTGCTTTTATTTAAGTTAAAATGATAGTGCTTCTATGTGATATGAAAGTTTTGTTTGGAATTGGGTGGTATGTATGTAAATGCCCAAATAAAAACATTCTTTGTATTAAAGTTTTAACCAGGCTAGGTTAAAGCTTCCTTTGAAGCAGTTTCTTTGTTCAACAAATCTCTTTTGAAAGATGCATAGGGGTATCGGAGAAGGTCGTCAGCTGTCTTGAGTGACAAAATTTTTGTTGTTCTGAGCAATTTTGAAAGAAGCTCAGCAGGCCTTCACCAAACCAAAACTTTCGCAAGCATCGACGTCCAATACAAGAATTTCAGCATATAGTTGTAAGTTTAAATGTATTAATTTTCATATATATATATGTATGTATATATATATATATATGTATGTATATATATATATATATGTATGTATATATATATATATAT